CTGCAGAGAGGGGCAGGACATGGGGGCGTCGATGCCACGAGAGAGGTCATCACTGCTATGGGATCCCTTGTGCAGAGACAGCAGGAGGAAAGAGGCGAGGGGCGAATGGGGAATCCTTAGTTTAGACAAGGAGAAGGAGGAATGGGAAGCTGCCAAGGAAACTGGGGACCCCTGCAGAGAGGGGGAAGACTCAGGACCTTCCAGTGTATTCAACAAAGTGCTTAATTATTCATCAGAGAAATCAACTCTGCTAATTTTAGAAGAAAAGACACCTATTTAAAACTTGCCTGGGTGGCTTCCAAAATCTTGAAAAACAAAATAAAACAAAACAAAAAACAGGCTTAGAGCTCTGAGAGGAAGAACAGTAACAGAGACCGCCACTGCCCAGGAGTGTTAGATATGCGGCTGGCTTCCCTTGAGCTCTGGATGCCAGCATTTCTCTAAGCACTGTGGTCACCGCTGCTCCAGGAACTCAGGCTTGAACTTGGCATTTCAGCCAGAGTCTCCTGGTCCTTGCTTCCATGCAACAGTAAACCCTGATGCCGAGCCTGGGGGCAGCAGTAACTGATGATCAGAGTTTAGGGCCTCACAACAGCACTCTGGCTGCAAGAGAGACTAGGGAAAATATGGAGCATTTGTAGCTTCTCCACTGGGAGGTGGGGTTATAAAGAGGGCAAAGTGGACAGGGGACTTCTGAGTATGTGTGTATTTGGAGAGGGGGTAGAGGGGAGGGAGAGTTGAGAGGAGAGCCTACGACATGGAAAGAACATCTCAGAAGAAAGGAAGAGTGAGCTGGAGGAAGCACTTGCAAGACAGCCTCCCCAGCTCAGGACAAGGTTATTGACACAGGAGGGGGTAGCACCCTCGGGATGATAGCACCAGAGGCTTTGGGTGGAAGGGCTCTGAGAAGTGGGGAGCTCAAAGAATTAGGGGTGCGCCACTAAAGGTGGAGAACAGCTTGAAGTGCTCCCCTTTTGTGAGGCTGCTATTCCATGGCTGGCCAGACTTATCCTAGCAGGTCTTAGATGGGATCTCTATGCCTATGTAGCAAATATACACTATTTTCCTATAATCTTCGGGAGTGCAGCATTCCTTTCTATTGGCTCCCCAGTACCCCGGGGGCGGGGCGGGGGGGTGGGGAGAGGTTCTCCCGGGGCTAGGGCTGCCTCTCCCAAAGTTGAGGGGGCAGATCTACCCTCTCCTGTCTGTCCAGGACCCTGCAGCCAGGCCGCGGGGGTCTCCTCGATGCCTGCTCATTTTCCACCCTCCCTATTTCTTCTGTGAGCTTCTCAGGCCATCCCTAAAATTTCCCTCTTGCTTAAGAAATCAGATCCAAGTCCACAACATTTTCCACAGTTGTGGCTTGTTATCTCTGCTCAGTGGCCCCAATTCCGCCTGCAGAACAAAGGGGCTCTCTCATCCACACTGGCTGCTTTCAGTACTATATGAACAGAGGGTTCTTTAGAGGGAATGTTTACCTCCCTGATAGAGAAATACAATTTGATTGATACTGCTTATGATTCTATTCAATTTTTTTTTTAAAGATTTTATTT